TGTAGTCTACTCTCCCAGGATCAGGAAAGGTCGTCCATAAAATGTGCTGCACACATCTATTTGGGTTGAAGTGTTGTGGAACAGTGTTGTAAATACAACTTAACGACTGATTTGTAGTCGTGTCCTCTTTTGGAAGACCAAACAAAGTAGTTTCGCTTTCAGAACGAAACACACAGCGTCACACACCGCGGGCTTGAGTGAGCGGCGGCCGGTGGGCTAGAGAACGGCGCGGCCGGCGGGCTTGCGGCAACCACATGTGACGACCCCCGGCTTGGACTCCGCTTCGTCCACAGTGAAAGCCGATCCGGCGATCCACAGTGCGAAGTTGATGTATTTCAAGTCTTTGCAACTTTACAGATCTTCTTTATGCACCAAGAGCTTGTATCACTTCAAAGAGAAAGGAAAAATTTAAATCGCATCATATGACCCCTTTAATAGCCTTTCTTGTTGTCTTATCTATCATATGTTGCTGCCTTATTACTGTGCTATACATTTAAAAGAAATCTCTTTTCATTTTAAAGTAGTTTTGCTTTCACAACGAAAAACACGGTGGCCTACAGTGAGCGGAAGCCGCGGCTTAGCGTGAGCTGAGGCCAGGCTAGAGTGAGCTGAGGCGGCGGGGTTGAGAACGGTGCGGCCGGATTTACGCCTTCTTTCTTTGCGTGAACATTTGGGCGGCGTTATGCAAATCTTCCCACATAGTGATGTAGATATGTGGGGGCGTGTTAGAACGAGCCGTTTTAGGTAGGCGTGGTTAACTCTTAACTTTTATAAAGAATATCTCTTTGGATTTGAGACTTTAGTCTTTGCAACTTTACAGATCTTCTTTATGCACCAAGAGCTTGTAACACTCCAAAGAGAAAGGAAAAATTGAAATCGCATCACATGACCCCTTTAAACGTTTTTTTTTTTTCAATGTGGAGGTTTAAGCCAGCATGACTGGAAAATGAACTCCCTATGAATTCAACACATGGAACTATTTCCCGTGTACCATAAATGGAAAACCATACAAAAAAGAGGAATGTCACACACAAAGCAAAACAACTTTTCAGTTGATTATCAATACTTACATGGAATATTTGTAGTGTTTGTAATAGGTGTTTAATTTTTTTACATATTCTGAATATAGTGTTGCTTCATAAAACCATTTATAAAAATTGTATATAATAAGTTGTAAATACAGCCACAAGTGGCAATCATCGGGGTTCTAGCACCAATGACCCACGTGAGTGATCATCAGTATTACAGCCTTCATCTTCCAGCTGGAATGGCTGATAGTTTAGAATTTACTGTTTGCACTGCGAACATCACAAATTCATGAAACTAAGCAAGTTTCTCCACATGTACAAAGTTTTGAGAAGTTTCAACTTTGTGCACACAACATATAGGCATGTTACTAATAACGGGCCACAAAAGACAAAAAAAAAATAAAAAATAAAATCAGCTACACAGTTTAATAGGTCAAAATTCTTTTGATAACTAAAATTAATTTAACTTACCGATTTAACTTATCAATTTAACTTGCCAGGTCTAGAGCGAACATGTGCAAAGTTTGGTGAAGATCTGACAAATGGCCGTGCTTGGCACTCCTGCAAAAGAGATATAGAGTGTGACAAATCCGAACAGAAGTAGTCGAAGTACATGCATTCAAAACTCATACATGCCGGGTTGGTTCATTCAAAGTTGAACTGAACTTTTTGGTGTTGCTTTTTCAAACATTTTCTTCTGAAGGTGTTAAATAATCCCCCTGATCCTTCTACTGTACACAATAAGGGTAGGCCTACACTTCCTAGTCAGGTTTCTTTAGATGAAATCCTGCAGGCACCTCTATGGGCTGATGGTATAGCTGACTAGGTTATAGTGACATTGGGCCTCATTCATATAACAAAAGCTGAAAATTGTATGTCATTCCTACATATCGAACTGAATGCAATGGTTTACTCAAGAATGGTATTAGGGTCTACACAATTTTCTCAGGTTCCATGAATGCATGTTTTAGGTCTATTCTGTTTATTTAGACACATTTCACTCATTTCAAGGTTTTCATATATATAGGTATTCAGCTATACATTCAGTCTAAAGGTCACATTAGCAATATTTCAGAGAAATTTTGCAAGCAAAAAAGGTCCATTGTCAATAGTGTAGCAATGTATAAATCAAAGCTCACCCAGAAGTCACTTTAAAACCAAGCAGCTTTCTGTTGATAAGCGCAGCAAATTCAGGCATGAGCAAAATCTGCATTTACAATTTCACCAAAAGTAAAATTCATTTAAGGGTTGGTAGTTGTTTAAGGTTACTACTTTCTAAAGTGTATGTGGTGAGACAAAAACGAACAGTGTAGTCCAGTATAGAAAGATGTTTTCTGTAGTAATTCCACAGGAAGTCTCATACTGAGAAGCACAGAAGTATCATAGCAGTCATAAATTGTAGGTTGTCTGTCTCTTCATTTTTTTTTTCTTTCTCTTGAAGCTTCTAAATTGCAGCCTGTCCGGCATATGAAGTGTTTTGAAAAATAATGTACTCCTATCATATACTTTGGCTGGTGTTAAGTGCCGGTGTTAAATACGAAACGTGTTTAGGAGAGTCGGCAAAAATTTCCTTTCGATAAATCTTTGTTCTGACGAATTTACTGCCACCCCATTATCACTAGAGGTAGGGGATTAAGTGGCGAGTGTGTCTTCATCAGAGAAGCACCTTTGAGAGCAGAAATAACAGAGAAGAACACCTGTGCAATCGAGCGTCCTGTGAGAAGGTGAATAGTGGTGTCCCCATAGCAGCCTGCTGCAATTACCTTCCCCTGAGTTTCCTTCTGATCCCTCCCTTCATAATATCAAACACGACCATGAGCTCGTTTCAGCTTCACTAAGCCAGAACTGCTGTTTACTCACAAATACAAAAGGGTGAGGTGAGGATTCACTGAAATAGCTGCTAAATGCTTGACTCTCGCTGGCCAAGCATCTGATCTGAGCTTCTATTGATTTGTACTAAAGATTCTGGTCATTACGAGTAATTGATTCCAGCATCTAAGCAGTGTCTTTAGAGGATTATTAGAAGGCCTCTGGCATCTATTCCCACCAGAGAGTGCTTTCGAAGCTTTTCTCATGTTAAATTTTATTAGCAAAATGTAGCTATGAAATCTTAAAGGTAAAATCATAAAGTCAAGGTTTAGGTAGCCTTGTGTAGCAAGAACTTTGTCTGATGAAGGTCTGTAGGCATGATGTACTGACGTATGTTAAATGAATTAGCATTTTAGTTTCCGGTTCCATCGTCCCTGAGTCAATGGTGTTGTTGTTTTTTTTTAATGGGTTTTAAATGCCTGAAACATGGTCTGTGGTGAACACAAGCTCAAGATATTTTCACATTTTAGTCTATGACATAAAATGTATCATTAAAAAAAAGCTTTTACTCGTCTCGAGAAAGACGATTGCTTTCAAGTGACTAAATGGGACTACAGAGGTTGTCGGGGACATTAAACGTCATCACACAGAACAAGTAAACTCATCTATTCACTAATCTGCTATTACAGCCTTGTGTTTATAATTGCACTCTTGCAATCTATTCTAACTCAAACTTTAAGAGAAAACATTTTTTTAAATAAAGACTTAAACAGTTGTCAGAAGCCTAATGTGGGTTCATGGTGTAGTTCCTTGATAGCCTACATTTAGCCTTTTACTTCTGGCAATTATGTTTATGACTTAGGTCATGATGAACAAAACATGTAAGAATCAAACTTTTATTAGTCACAGAGCTTATTTTCTGCACTCTAAAAAATGCTGGGTTAAATACAACCCAGTGCTGG